TTTCTTAAACCCAAAAAGTATTTCACATTTGATGTTGAGTGACAGCAGAGACAATGGAAAATGCAGCTATTTTCTGCACAATAAGTGCCGTTCCTTCATCGTACAATAAATGTATTCTCTGAAAACATATTTTTCTTCATTTATCATTTTTTTAATTACATTTTACAAGTTGGGGCCATTTTGTATTAATAATCCGAGAACACCACTAGTGGGGGTCGGATTTGAGGCTCATGTTCTTTTCACTAAAACAAGTCTTTGGTGAAAATTAAATGCAAAGCCAGTTTCTTTGAGTTCTACGAATTGCTTGGCCAACATCCAATAGCCAATCAATTTGGCCATTGTATTATTAAAAGCTTGCCCTCGACCTTAAAGTCCGTGTAATTAAATTCCTTTACCATTACGTACGTTACTTTTATCCACGTGCTTAATCTCAAATACTACATACAATTAACTTTTTTCTCATTATTATCCATCAGAAAAGGAGATCTATATTGCAAATTCTTTTCCTTTTTTTTTCATTTGCAATGGCACACCCCCCCCCCCGGAACACACACATGTCAAATTCAAAAGCATAGAGTATAATCTATATAACATCATTATTCCCCCTGAAACCTTTCTTTCAGTTTCAATTCCTCACTCTCTTCTTCAGATTTTCAGTTTCTAGTCCATTTCATTTGTCCCCATTTTTACATTACATTTCTACAGCGTTGGTGAACCTCCTTTCTTCCTTTATTCCTTCCGTTATATTTAGAGTTATTATATCAGAGACAAAATCTCCTACACTCTTACTCTTTTTGGAGCCACCCATCCCATAAAACCAGACTCTATAGGAGCATGAGAAAAATTATCATGGCTCCACTGAGACATGTCCCAGTGCTGATACTGCTGCTGGCTTTTCTGATCAGCTCTTCGAACGCTTATCAATTCGACGTCGGTGGCACAGATGGTTGGATTCTTAATCCTCTTGAAAATTACGACCATTGGGCTCAGCGTTTGAGATTTCAAGTGAATGACACTCTTTGTAAGTTCTCCAACTATCCGTGCTACAAAAATGTACCATTATATGATAATTTGTTTGTTTGCACCAAAAGATGTTACTATATTACTTAGTATTTATTTGATAATTACTTTTTTCTTGTTTGTACGTGTGACAGTGTTCAAGTATAAGAAAGGATCAGATTCAGTATTGGAGGTAAATAAGGATGACTATGACAAGTGCAACACAGAAAATCCGATTAAGAAAATGGAAGATGGCAACTCTGTTTTCAAGTTTGATCGCTCTGGTCCATTCTATTTTATTACTGGCAAAAAGGATAAGTGTAAAGAAGGACAAAGGTTGATTATAGTTGTTCTAGCAGTTAGACCGCCGCCTCCTTCTCCTCCTGCTACTCCGGCTCCATCCGCTCACACTCCAACGACGGCTACTCCACCTAAAGGATCATCAACACACATTTCACAGTCGCCTAAAGGGAATCCGGATTCTCATTCTCCTGTAGGTAAAACTCCGGTAGCATCGCCGACACCTGCTGGTTCCCACTCATCTCCGACGGCTCATGCACCTGGAAAAGCTCCTACATCAGGTGCGACTCCGCGTCATGGTCCACAATCATCTCCAACGGCATATGCACCTCTAGTAGGGGTGCCGCCTGCACATGATGGTTCCCACTCATCTCCGACGACCCATGGACCCAAAAAGGCTCCAACGCCAGCATCATCGGATGAACCAGTTGTGGCTCCAACATTGGCGTCACCTGCTCCAGGGAAGGCCCCAACACCGGGATCGTCGCATGGACTTCCAAGTACCGGTTCACACCAATCTCCAACAGTCCAGGCTCCCCAAAAGGCTCCAACACCAGCATTGTCGCATGTGCCTTCTGATTCACATTTAGCTCCGACTAATCATGCACCTAGAAAAGCTCCAACTAGCGCGTCACTTGCCCCTGCTGGGTCCCACTTGTCTCCGACAGCACATGCAACGGGAAAAGCTCCAACACCTGCATTGTCGCATGTGTCTCCAAGTCCAGGTGCACGCCTATCTCCTACGGCTCATGCACCTGGAAAGGCTCCAATTGGGGCTTCACTTGCGCCTGTTGGTTCCCACCTATCTCCAATTGCCCATGCACCCGTAAAGGTGCCTACACCAGCATCATCGAATGTGCCTCGAGGTACTAGTTCCAACCCACCTTCTCCAAGTCCAGGTACACACTTATCTCCTGCGGCTCATGCACCTGTGAAGGCTCCAACAGGGGGGTCACCTGCGCCTGCTGGTTCTCACTCATCTCCAATTGTCCATGCACCAGGAAAGGCGCCAACAGCGGCATCATCGATTGTGCCTCCAGGTACTTGTTCCAACACACATTCAGATTGATATTTTTAAATATGTATATATATGCACGTCGAAAGGCAAAATGTGGTTAAAGACGCTATATATCAAAACCTTGGTACTTTAATTTAGTATTTATTAACTTGAATTTGAATTTAAGTGTTTTAATTTAAACAAATGTGTTTCTTCCCAAAATAAAATGACTAGTCTAAACAAACTTCTTTCAACTCTTTAAATTCAAGCCTTCCATGAGTAATGGCAAAGTTGATTTGCGTATACTGTGGCTTTGTTTGTCTTTCTCCAAAAATATCTCTTTAGGGATAATAATAAATCTTTCCTCTTCAATTGTGTCTTTCTATTTTTCTAACACCTTCTACGGTTCATGCACCAGGAAAGGCTCCATCCGAGGCGTCGCACGCACCCGCTAGTTCCCACTCATCTCCATCTGCCCATGCACCTGGAAAGGCTCCATATGAGGCGTCACACGCGCCTGCTAGTTCCCACTCATCTCCAACTGCGCATGCACCTGGAGAGGCTCCATCCGAGGCGTCATACTCACCTGCTAGTTCCGACTCATCTCCAACTGCCCATGCACCTGGAAAGGCTCCATCCGAGGCGACATACGCGCCTGCTAGTTCCCACTCATCTCAAACTGTCCATGCACCTGGAAAGGCTCCATCTGAGGCGTCACACGCGCCTGCTAGTTCCCACTCATCTCCAACTGTCCATGCACCTGGAAAGGCTCCATCCGAGGCGTCACATGCGCCTGCTAGTTCCCATTCATCTCCAACTGCCCATGCACCTGGAAACGCTCCATCCGAGGCGTCACACGCGCCTGCTAGTTCCCACTCATCTCCGATTGTCCATTCACCTGGAAAGGCTCCATCCGAGGCGTCAAACGCACCTGCTAGTTCCCACTCATCTCCAACTGTCCATGCACCTGGAAAGGCTCCATCTGAGGCATCACACGCGCCTGCTAGTTCTCATTCATCTCCAACTGCCCATGCACCTGGAAAGGCTCCATCCGAGGTGTCACACGCGCCTGCTAGTTCCCATTCATCTCCAACTGCCTATGCACCTGGAAAGGCTTCATCCGAGGCGTCAGACGCGCCTGCTAGTTCCCACTCATCTCCGATTACCCATTCACCTGGAAAGGCTCCATCCGAGGCGTCACACGCGCACGCGCCTGCTAGTTCCCACTCATCTCCGATTGCCCATTCACCTGGAAAGGCTCCAACACCTGCATCGTCACACGTGCCCCCTAGTCCTCTCTCACACCTAACCCCGAATAAGCATGCACCCGGAACGGCTCCAACGCCCACAACTTCAAAGATATCCCCTGTTTCAGGTCCACACCTATCTCCCGCGGCTCATGCTCCTGGAAACTCTCCAAAAACATCAAGCGCTCCGGCATCACATGCACCGTCAGCTCACAGTCCAGCACCTACTAAATCTTCAAAGAGTCATTCTGCATCTCCAGCACCCACAAACACATCCCAAGTGCCTTCTCTGTCACCAGCAGAGGGGCAAACATCCAATGCATCTTCTCCAACTTCATCTCCCATGTCATCAAGCCCGCCAACAAGAAGTATTGCTCCGGCCTCCAGCAACAACATTCCGGCGGACATTCATTCACCAGCAAGTTCACCACTCAATTCCCAGTCGTCAGCAGAGAAGGCAATAACTCCTTCAGCTGTTCTGATGTCAACAGTGTCACTCCTCTTGACATTGGTTTTGGGAGGATTCGTTATTTCACCTTAGGGAATTATTTGACATAGATATTATTATAGTATAAACACTTTGTTCTGTTTCCGGGTTATTACTTAATTTTGTTTTCTTCTTCTTTTTTGTTAGTTATTTTTGATTTCTTGAATTACAGGTGGGTTGGGTGTTTAGATAAACAAGAGTGTGCTTAATTGTTATCTTTATTTTTTTCCTGTGTCACATAAATCTTTCATGTATGAGAGTATATAGCTATTTTCCTCTTATTTACTCTTTCCTTAACATATTTCTAATTGGTTAAGAGCTCGCTATGCTCATTTAGTTTTCTTTTGATAAGTTGCCGTAGCTAGCGATCTCCATCATCAAGAATATTGTCGAAATTTATTATTATAGTAGTTTAATTTCGTCTTCGAAGCAAGTTAAAAAGAAATTAAGGTCTCTATTTCTTTTTTTAAAAAAACGTACTACATACCACTCCCTCCGTCTCATAATATGTGTCGTGATTTTCTTGTGCACGTCCCTTAAGAAAGCATAGGTTTTGACTACTTTACCCTTATTAAATAGTTTCTCAATTTATGTGTCATCTCTATCAAGAGATTATCCATATTTTTACTAAATATGAATGCAATTGATTATTAAGGGTAAAAAAGGAAAAATATAATCAATTTTGTCTTGAACTTCTAAAATGATAAATAAATTGAGACAACTATTTTTAGTAACCACGACACATATTATGAAACGGAAGGGGTACCATATAGGGATACAAAAGTTCGCTATGCCTACAAAAGTTCCCTAAATATCTACCGTAAAAGTAGGTAACCAATGAAAATAAATTCTTTAAGCACTATGGATTTTGGTGCTAATAAATTAAAATTAACACGCAATGACGTATGTTACCACTTTTTGTTAAACCAGTCGTCGTAATTCAATGTTGTCTTAATTGCTCGCATTAAAGGTCTTTAATCTTAATTAATCAATCGCACAAACTAAACTTCTTGTCCTCGACCGTTTTTATTTTTTTGTGATGCCAAGGGATGAATTATTATTAATGCCACAATTAATCGAAAATTGTTATAAATAGAATTTTATTTTGTGGTGAATGTCTATATTTAGAGAGATTCTAGGGTTTATTACTTGGTGGCTAAGTCACGCTCTCCCTATAAATAGAGGGTTCTATTCCATTGTAACTCATCCCAAATCAATAAGAATTCTCTCTCTCTACTTTTCTCTGCAATACTCTTCTTCTTCTTTTATTGTTTTATAACACGTTATCAGCACGAGACTCTAACCAATTGAGTAGAAACTTTGGGATTGAGCATAATGATTGTCAATTATTCCATGAACTTCCTTCATGATTAAATTCTGGATTTAAGGTAAGTATTTTACTGTATTTTTCTCTTTTATTCTACACTTTGATTTTAAATACAAGCAAAAACAATAAAGTTTGATTATAACTCTAATGGAGTTTGTAAGAAATTATAACCACCTTAAGTGGTAAAATTTCTATGCCTTGCCATGATCAAATTCATGTATGATTGTGGGCAAAGAATTGAAAACCCGTCCCATTGAATTTGCTCCATTCTCATTCCCTTAAGAGAATGTGATAGCAATATGTGATAAGTCTGAAAGAAGACAAAATTATTACCTTGAAGGTATCAATGGATGGTAATAGACGAAATTATAATCGTCATCATTATGATAATGAGAATAAAGGATTCTCAAAATAGTCCTTCACTCTGTGAAAGTAATATTTGTCGTCGATTTGACATGATATTTTATAAAGCACATATAGATGATTATGGTCCATTTCATGATGTGAATGTGAAAACATCTGATTTATAAATACATATTCATTCTTGGAAGAATATGAATGTGCTAGTAGTAGTGAATATACCACACTCACCTCTAAAAGGAGATTTGAGATGATATAAGAAAACAATGTCATTATTATGGCATGAATGGTCATTGGTCACGTACCTATTGTATGCCAAAATATTTTGGTAATGTGATTATTAAAGAATAACAGTAATGCAAGAAACAGATCTTGCATATAATTTTGACCATCACTATAATGGTATAACTTTCTCTTTAAAAGAGATATTCACCATATGGATGTTGATGAATATGTGGTAGTACCAAATTAATTGAGAGCTCTGGAAGAGCCAATTATTACTATTTTGGAGAAACACAATTAATTACCAATAAGGTATTGTGTCGTAGTAAGTCTCAAAGAAACTTATTTAGTTTCCAAAGTATACGCGAAAGCGGTTGATTATATTGAGACTATTAATAAAGGAAAGATTTTATATCTTCTATTACTACAACTTGTAGCGGGGTAATATGTATGTGAAAAGCTACCCGTTTTATTCTCCAATTTGTACTACATAAACAAAAGAATACCACAATGAAGTGGATATTTATTGATATAAAAACTCGTATCATAATAAACTTGGAGTTTATTGATAATTGCACACATCATGGTGTAAATCTGAAGTTTATCAATATTGATAATTTATCCTTGGCATAATTGGTTTAGCCATGTTAATTCAAGTATGATGTGCAAAAAAAATAAAAGAGAATTCACATGGGTAAATATTAAAGAGCTAGAAATTTCTTTACGAATTCTCTTACATTGCTTGTTCTCATTAATTAATAGACTAACTAAAATTGGGATTAAATCCCATGAATGCTGGAAATATCAAAGGTGAATATTGGCCCATTCACCTGCCATGTATACCACATAAGATGCATCTATGAGATGGTTACATGTGCGATTACTAATAACGCGCAACATGGTGTTTTGCGAGGTAACTTGCTCAATAATTTAATTTCGAGCATAATTTCCAGATTTTCTATTCAAGAAGTTCATCTTGATAAGTTGATTTACATCACAGTTCGTTTAGCAAAATGATTTATTAAGTGTCTCTACTTAATAGCTAAACAATTGCTTATGAGAACAAAGTTATCTATATCAGTTTGATATATGTTATATACCAAGTATATTATTTTACTCCCCTCACAAGTGGTTCAAGGTCAGGAACCAATAATTCCATCTTATTATTATTGATGTGCAGTGTATATTTTGATTTAACACCATAACGCACAAAGATAGGTTCTCAAAGTTGAGGTAAGCAAGTTAGTTTTTACTAACATGAGGGGGAGACAAGATACAACAGTTAAGAAAAAGTTACCATGGAA